AAAACACCCCAAGTTGTTGCGTGTAATGTTTATTGGCACACGTAAAAATTGATTTCAAGTCAATCTGAAACCTACCTACTTTATTTTAAAATTAATCAACCGAACGTTTGCCAAGTCCAAAAGTGTCTGGCAAGAAGAACAGTGTGACAGTAAAATTCATCCTATAGGGGCACTTACTTCACCTGAATTGGTATTTTCAAGAGCACTTTTTGGGACACGGTACCCCTCCCGGTTTCTGAGTCTCTAATTGCAATTTCCTCTCTGCAGACACTGTATGATATTTTTTTCAATCTATTTTTAGTAAAGATGGAATGCGGCGAGCTGGTTTTGAAGCAATCTTTACCGGCTCCTAAACCTAAACCTCTCTACATTGAAATCCTCCATACACTTTTTTTAACAAGAATACTATAAACTTTTTCCAGCTTCGATTTTTTAATATTAAGGGAAACATCATCCACACTTGAATAAAACCATCCTTTTTTTAAATTTGAGATGCCAGTTCTGAAATTCCCCGTTACGAACACCCCAAAAAAGGCAACTGCTGAAAAATGAGACAAATATGCGAACCGAGGCTGAGCAATATCCTTATCATATTCTTAAAAATTGGATTATTCTGAGCTTGATCATTCTTATAAGAAATATTTTTGTAAAAGAAAGATTGTAACATTTTGGAAAAATCACTTTCTGAAAAATGCCCTAGATGTTTTCAAATTTGAGTTTTCTTTTAGGTGTGGGTTTTCAGATTGCTCACAAACGTCTCCCTCTAAATAACATTTTTGGGGAAAATCTACACATGTAGCCCTTATTCTAGACTCCTGTTTGTTATTTTCGGGCCTTGTATTTTAAAAAAACGTGATACAGTCGACTCCGCTTATAGTCACACTAAATGCTTTCCAGAAAAGTGGTCACTACCTCATTTAGTACCCCCAGTCCCCCCCCCAAGAAAAAAAATCACTGATGCCAAAATAAGTAAACTTAACAAAAAACGGAGATTTTCATTTATTCACTGGTTGTTCCATACTTCGCATCAAATCAATATTCACACCATGTTTCTTCCAGTCTCGACGAATCCGAGGAAAAAGATTTAATGTGCATCAAGCACGAGCCATGTAAGAGCCTTGTACCAAAATTACCAACCGTTGGTACTCAGAGGGATAAAGTCGACATTTTCGAATGTTTGATTTCAGAAGGCGACATAGCCCTAGAATATATTTAAGAATCAATAACTGATGAAGATGACGATGGCAATATTGATGTAGAAAGCTGATTTTTTCGCAAATAACAAAAAATTAGTTTACCAATATAAATGGTTTTCAATTAAAAAATATTTATTACGCCCCCTCTCTTATAAGCCCCCCATTTTAATTGCTGAAAAACAATGAGCCCCCGGGGGCTTGAAAGAGAATATACGGTATAAGCGGAGTGTGACATTAAGCGCAGTTAACTAATACAGCTAAATAATTGGAAAAATAAGTTTTGTGGCCCTATAATGGAAAAGAAACTGTTTTCAAGCATTTCAATAATAATATTCAATGTTGTCTTCCCTCCTTTCCTAAAAATGGCTTCAATGCTAGAGCACGTTCGGTGACGTTAGGTTCGATGGAGAATAGGGGTAAAACAATGCAAAAGCAAAATGCCAACTAGATATAATAATTTAGAGTGTAGATGTGGCTGTGTTCTGCTGCTCGGGAAGAAAAAAAGTTATGAGCCTATAAACGGCGCGTGATAAAAAGCAGAGTGGCTGCAATAGAAGTCAAATGTAACTGAATATTTTGATTTAAAGATGCCCCTCGGTGTACTGCTATGAAGACATTATTTATATTTTTCACCCATGTTTTTCCTCCCATCCTGTCGTCACAAGGGTTGGTTCTTTGATGTAGTTGTTGCTCCTCTGCTTTGGCTAAATTTACATAAATTTTAATAGTTGTCGCTCAACCATGCTTGTACTGTTACTTATTGTTGCTGTGGAAAAAGCTCCAATTTGTCATTTAAATGTAAAGAGCTTTTTCAAGTATTAAATTGACTTTAGTTAAATGATGATTATGATGATGATGATGATGATGATGATGATGACGATGATGATGGCTCTGACGTCAAAACAACAGCAATTTGTCTGCACGTTCTTTTGTTTTGCGCCGTTCAACAGGCTATCAAGCAGAATCCTGTCATCTCATTGTCAATGATCTTTTCTCTACCTGAAACAGAACAATAGAAAGTATTAGCAAATGAGTGACAGCGAATCGAATAGAAGAGGCCGGGTCAACTTCTTCTATTGGCAGATTCAAAACAACATTACTGAGTTCGCTACCAGCAAGCAAGCTTTCAGAGCTGTAAGTAAACTTTTGCTGTTGTTTTTCTTATTTCTTATGAATTTTGTTTTGGACTGCTCTGGCGAAAAATCGATGAAAATGTAGCAGATAAGAAACATCGCAATGCGACGAGAACTTCATTCATAATCGCTGATGCAGCTTTCGTCGGTCAAAATTATTTCACTCAAACTTAGCGGGAGCTACAGCCAAGCTTTTTATCGCACGTGTTACAGCATCCCAAATTCCAGGCAATGTCCAACATTCCAACAGAATTTAACAAAAAAACAGATAATTGTCTAGGTGCCATATTTGCTAAAGTGCTACTCCTTACCCTCGGTAAACAGCGAATCGACCATTATCAACTCCCTGGCATGTATGACAACAAGTAAATTCGTGACCGACAAGGATTTGCTTTCCGTGCAGCATCTTTTCTTTTTCCTGATCTGGTTTCAGAAAAATGCCAAATTTC